AACTCAGTCAATAAGCATTTTATCATATGACCCTCACGAAAATAAAAATAAATAAGAAAAAGAAAACGCGCGGATTCGAGCAGGGCCGGACGGGTTTTTCCGGCCCGCTTACGTCAACCCGTCCGGCCCCCATCACGTGACTTTTTCCAATGGTTTTATTAGAGCGCGCGAGCAGGGCCGTACGGGTCATATGATAATATATCCTACATTACATGGTAGCTAGCGTTACAACCTCTACAGGGAAATAGCAGAGAAAACTACTAATCGTCGTTAGTTAGAACCTGAAGGCATTGTGATTGGTTCAGTCACAAATAGGGAATTGTAAATCGCTAAGACCGTACCAATGGTGAATCTAGTGAAGATTCAATGGATGCCTGTCAACCCCTTTCTTCCCAGGAATGTCTCGAAAATGCATAAGATGATACCATTCCGGCCAAGGGCGTAACATTTTAAATCTCGAATTATCATGGGGAAATATGGCCCCTAGAAAATGTTGTTTCGAGGAAGAGTCCCCATCTCCAATTTCTAGATGTGCCCTTAGTATCAAGACTATAGCTTGCTAGTAAAATAAAATACAAAACCAGCTTTATGCCTTACATAGCAATTGCAATTGGGACCTTCCGTGTTTGAGATGGGTAGCTAAATTTTGAATAAGTATAATACTAAGTAATAATGTAGTGACTGTTTTATTATATCAAACACAAAGATAGATAGCTAGAGCGCCCCGCCTCCTCGTCCCAACCCCCTCCCCAAAAGCCTCTACTCAGGCTAAAAAAACACCGATAGATCCAAACTAAAAGTCAAATTGCATGATTATTGTTCATACCTAGTATTGAATTTCGACTTCTATAGTTTTTGCTTGTCGTATACTTAGAAAGTATTGCGTAAATTACCTTTGATCCAACTGGCTCTTCAGCAGAGACCGGATGATTTTATATTACGCACAGTTCCTTGCTGAGGTATTTGGAAATTGTCTCATTTTGCATCAAATCATATTTCTTTAGATTCATAAATTTCATTTCGAGGAAGGCCAAGATCAATTTTAACAGCTCTTCATTTTGCCTATGAAGTTTGAAGATTCTCAAAAATCCTAGCTTAGAATTCCTTAACATCTTGCTTTGAAATCCTTGTTTACAATTACGATGGTAAATTAGTATTTCTAGTTCGGCTGTCTCGAATTACAGCAGTCAACGAAATAGAGAATGCGTAGACATAGATTTCTGTCGCGTGATCTGTTAGCTCCGCCCTTTCATAATCATTTGACAACATAGTGACAAGTGATTGACATGTGGTACTTGCTTATTGATTGGACTATAGACGGAAACACTATAGCAGATGCCCACAAAGGTCTCTTGGGTAAGGGCCCTGAAGACCTCTGTATACTATTGAGCAATTTTTCCATTTTGTCGGGCCGGAAAAATGAAGGTATTGTATGAGCGGTTTATCACAGGTAACCCGCTAAAAGAAAAAAAGAAGGTATTTTATGAGCGGTTTACCACAGGTAACCCGCTAATTACAAAGAAAATAACATTTACTAGGGACAAGCTTCCCCAGTGAACATACATTTCTTTGAAATTTTTGAAATTCTAATATTTTTAGGCACTGCCTAAAAGTGGAGCTCCCGATACGGTCACAGAGAGAACAATTTGTAGCACTCTTGCGAATATTGACTTCATATGATTCCTACTTTCTATTGTTTTACAAAGGATTCACGTGTTACATAAATGAATCTAAAGGCTTTTGCGGACAATTTTGTTATTTTACCAGGTTCGAGGAT